TGATTGCATAACAATGAAAGAGTTTTGGGTTGTTTTTTTTTTTTACTTTTCAAGAAGAAGGGTGAATCGGGGGGAAAAGCGGACAGGGAGGAAAGTGAAACAATGAGTGAATGGAAACCCTAAGTCTCAGTAAACTTTCTTTTTTTTTAATTTTTATGTGCGTGTATCATCAAATCAGATCTGACTGGTATAGGAGGAGATTGTCCCTCCTTCCCGGGCAGAGCATCTGGTGGATTCAAACCGTGTGCCTCTGGGATTGTAGTTGCAGCTCCTTGCCACTAGGCCACCAGAGCGCCCCCTCAGTAAACTTTCTTTAAAATTAATAAGACAAATCAGATATAATAAAAGAAGAAAGGCAAAGATAAACCTTTGCAAAATAAGCCATGGATAGTGAGTGAAATGCATTAACTGTATATATGAAAACATATATTACCAATTAAATATATGCATTATCTATTGGAATAATTATCAATGACTGGGTCAGCTTTTCATTTCTTCTGCAAAGAAATGATTGAGGGTCAGAGAGGTGAAGTCAGATTTAGAAGTTGGAAGGACCTGGCTTCTGAAGACAAGTCATCCTTTAGTCGAGAATAAATGACTGGAATTGTGTCCTTGCCTCTAAACACGTCACCTTGTTACTGAATCGCTCAAAATAAAACATAAGCCATTTTGACCTGATGTCATTACCTTTTTTTGGAGATGATGGTTTCAATTTCTGATATCCTCCTACAAGAAAAATGACATTGACATGGTTAAAGGGACAGCATAAACTCAACAAGGGTGAACAGTCCACATCTACAACGTCCATACAGTATAAAATCTAGTTTCATGCGGTCAGACACACCCCATGCTCTCCACATCTGCTTCTCTCATTTCTCACATCGACCCTCCGTACCAAGGTCTTCACTGCTCTGCTCCTGCTGTGCTAATCTGTTGCAATGGCCACACAGAACTCACAGAACCATACTCCTGGTTACAGGGCTTAATAAGAAGCTAATATGTTACAATTTGGGTTGGAAACAAGATGCCATTCTTCAGTCAGGACAGATTCTGAGGGGTGCTTGCAGACCCTTCCACCTTTAGACTCTCAACTTCAGGTCAGTGTTATAACGTTCTCTTGTTGTGGTCGTTATGTGCCATCGAGTCACTTGCGACTCATAGCGACCCTTTGTACAACGGTCCTGAACCCTGCTCTGTCCTGTTCCAACCTCACTGTCTCTGACACACCTACACTCTTTATCCCAGTCACTGAATCAATCCATCTCCTCAAGGGTCTTCCTCTCCTAGACCTAACAATTATGGCATCTCCCCATGCCCTAGTCCTCTAGCAAGCTTGGACAAAGGCCCCGGCACATACACCGTAGAGTAGCAATCCCAGAACGTAAAGTTCTGCTTCATATAAGTCTTCAGCCTTTCTCTCCTGCTGCTGTTGCCCCGATCTGATTGGCACAAGAATCTCTGGTTTTCAAGGGCACATAGGACATTCTCTGCTTCTTTCTTGTCATAGCACGATTTCCATCTTGCATTGGAAAAGTCAGCTATCAGGGACCTCTCCAGAGCACTGATGAGCAACGACATCAGGCTGGAGACTAAGGTGCACCTGATCCTGGCTATAGTCTTCGCATTGTATGCTATGCATCAGAGAGCTGGACAGTGACTAGGATGATAGAAAGAGAAACAATCCCATTGAGCTTTGAAGCTGGAGAGGAGTTTTGAATATACCATGGACTGCCAAGACAACAAACAGGTTCATCATAGTAAGGGTGATGCCAGTGTGCTCTTGGGAAGCAAGAAATCTGAAGCTTTGTCTGACATGCTTTGGGCATGTTGCAAGGAGGGGGACATTATGTTTGGAAGAGTGGAGGGACAGCGCAGGAGAGGAGGACCCTCGATGTGTTGGGGCGGTGGGATTAAGTGTGTCGGAGACGGTGAGGTTGGCACAGGATAGAGCAGGGTTTAGGGCTCTTGTACATAGGGTCACTATGAGTCGCAAGCAACTAGAAAGCACACAACAACAACAGCAACAACAACTGGTAAACCTGCTCCATTTAACTAGACTCAGTGATAAACCTAACCAATCTCCTCACCCATAGTCGTGCACGTTCCCACTCGGCCCGGGAATGCAAGTCAAATTTGATGGCTAGCAAAGCCATTTGGACAACCACCAATCCATTGTTTCACATATAGGTTTGTATGCAAATATAGCTGAAATGGCTTAATTTCCTTATCAATCAATTAGAAAACCAAAGGAGCAGAAGATTTCTAATAAGACATAGTCTGTTTCAAGTACTCGATCTGCCATTTACAGACATTGTAATAGGTTACGCTGTGAAAAGTTAAATAAGACACAGAAGAGAGATAATAATACCTAACTCAAAGTTAGATAATGATGGCAAATGCTGCCTCTAAAGCGCTCAGCCCAGAATCTGACTCATTCTGTAGGATAATGAGATTGTTGTATAATGACTATTTTCTCACCCAATATACCACCCACACCTCGCTCCCTCTGTAACAGACGCTGTCAATGCTTCCACCCATATTCCTCCAGACTTCTTTTTTCTTTAAATTTTGTAATTGTTAAGCATCCTAGATCATGGGTGCTTTCACTTTCCAAAAAAGAACACTTGTATCTCTATTGAGAGAACTGCCTAGGAGAATTCAAAGTATCTGAATTTTAAGTATTCCAGGGTCATTCCTTTACCAATGATTGTTGTTTGTTGGAGTATAAATATCCTGACTTCCCTGCCTTTATGAAAGCCCCTAGATGGGGCCAATGGTTAAAGCCTCAGCTGATAATCAAAAGGTTAAAAGTTCTAATTCACCCAGAAGCACCTTGAAAGAAAAGCCTAATGATATATTATTTTTTTTGTAGTAGTAGTTTCCAGAGTACTGAAGAACAATGGTGTCACTCTGGAGACTAAGGTGCGTCTGATACAGGCTATGGTATTTGCAATCACTTGTTATGCATCAGAGAGCTGGACAATGACTGGGAAGGATAGAAGGAGAATTGATGCTTTTGAACTGTGGTGCTGGAGAAGAGTATTGAATATACCATGGACTGCTAAGAAAACAAACAGGGTCATCCTGGAGAAGGTTAAACCAGACTGCTCCTTAGAGGCAAGGATTCTGAAGCTTCATCTGACATACTTTGGACATGTTGCAAGGAGGGATCATTCCTTGGAGAGGGACGTCATGCTTGGGAGGGTGCAGTGACAGTGCAGGAGAGGAAGACTCCCTGTGAGGTGGACTGATTCAGTGACTGCGGTAATGGGAGTAGGTGTGTCAGAGACAGTGAGATTGGCACAGGACAGAGCAGGGTTTAGGGCTGTTGTACATAGGGTCGCCATGAGTTTCATGGGGACTGGAAGACACGCAACAACAACAACAACAGTGGTAGTTTGTATATTGGTATCTATGGCTTAACTAGAACAAATCTGCCCAAATCCAAGTAGATAATGGCTGGTTTGTATATAGTATTATAGAACTGCTTCAAAACAATGGGTCTTAGTTCCATTGCAAGACCTTTCTGGTTGTCGAGGAAGAACAAAGATAAAGAAAGAGACAGAGAGGGGGACACCAAGAATGGAGAAAAAACAGACAGCTTAAAGGCAGGGGGGTGAAGAGCTCAAAGACTGAAGCCCTGAACCTAGCTTCTCTGTAACTTTATTGAAAATTGCCAGGGAGCAAATCACAAAGAGAATTCTATGCAAATGAAGCTAAGCTCCTTCTATTGAAAACCTTATGCTTGACTCAGGAGGGAGGGGTTAGCAAATACCATCCAAGAACCGTGAAGACATCTGAAGATCTGCCTTGGCATGTGACCCCTGTGGCCTGTCTCAGGAGGAATTCCAGCTTGTATCTGCACCTCCTTCAAATCCTCACAAAGCGTTTGGTTTATCATTTAGATTAACATTTAGTTGTACATTTGGCTTCGCAACACTTTCTGACAATATGCTTTTGAAAACTCAGCCTTGAAAATCCTGTGAGCTTCCTTTGACATGACGTTAGAAGAACTGCGTGGTGCTGGGCTACCATTACTGAACATTTTGGTCAGAGATTCTACGGGGGAATCCTGAGCAGATGGGATAAAATGAGACCAGAATTTCAGATGCTCACAGATCTAGGATTTCTGGAGCCAAGGAGGCACCATGAACCCCTGAAATTATCACCCTGAGATAATTTTTAAACCTGATGCCAAAAAGCTCCTCCAAAGTCTTAAAGCCAAGTGTAAGTAGCAAGAAAAAAAATCTACCTTCGGTTGTTGTTGTTGTTGCTATACGTCATCAACTACAACCCATAGTGACCTTATGAACAGAAATTCAGATAGGGCTCTGAATTTTGCCCTATCTAGAGCCAACCTCGCTATCTCAGACCACTTGACCCCATTGCCACTGTTGCTAAGTCAATCCATTTCATCTACAGTCTTCTTCTTAGGTCTGCAAAGCAAACTCTATGAGGAACATGCTCAAGAGAACAACCAATCACAAGGGACCAAAAAGGACAGCATTTGGCCAAAATAAAAACTCAGGAGGCAGGAAGGGGCAGGAAAGAAGCAGAGCCAGACACAGGGAGCAGAATGCTGTTACACAGAGGCAATCACAACTCATATCATGAAATAAATTGAGACTCACGTGTGGAACGGACACTAATTTCATTCAATAAACTTTCACCCAGACCACAAGCAAATGCTCACGAAATCAAACCATTCTCTTGTGGTCTCTCTGTCACAGCAGCACGGAGGAACGAAGCTCACTTGTGTCCAGTCAGTTTTAATGCAAGGTGACCCTCTGTGTTGGATTTCTGAGGTGGTTACATTTTATTGGGAGAAGCCTGGTCATCTTCTCCTTCAGACCTCTTGGTGGCCTCACACCAATGACCTTCTGCTTAGCAGTGTTGTGCACTATGCCACCAGGGCTCCAGACGGTAAATGACTTACAACGGAGACTAGAACATGAAGAGTGCTGGGTAAGTGATCAATGTTTGTATTTGTCTTCCCATACCTTTATCTGTCACCCTGATTTCCACGTTGTTACTAGGAAAGGAGCCCAAATACGGGAAATCCTGCTGGTAATATAGACAGCTGTAGTTGGCATGATGGGTTATGCTGGTCCAGAGCCAAAACTCCATCTGTTTCTCCTTTCCTTTCCTGACTTGCAGTGGCTCTGGGGATCCTGGTTTCAGCAGAACAAAACCCAAGCATTCCATCCTGTCGTGTGGAACCAGGCACTGAAGCCTCACAAAATCTCTTGGGCTGTTCTCAGAAACTATGATGAGGGATGGTCTTGGGAGTGACCCTGCAGAAGACAAGATGATGAATCAGGCTGAGGTGAGTTCCAGGACTTCTGCTCCTCTCTGCCCCCTGGGATTCAGTTAGCCATCTGTATCATGTCAATACAGCGGAAACCATTCTAAATCTCTCAAGAGAGACTTAATCCCACCCTCTGTCTCTAACTGAAAGGTTGGGAGTTTGAAACCAGGAGTCTCTTCTCAGGAGAAAGGGCTGGTGATCTACTCTCTCAAAGACCTGGAGAAGTGCTTCTATCAAGACCACAGTTTCCTGTGGGGCACTTCTGCTCTGTCTTACACGACCTCCAGGAGTTGCGATTGACTCCACAGTTGTGGGTCTTTAGTGGTTTAGATTTCCTCTTCCGCCCCAGCCTAGTGTTGTCACAGAGAGAGGAACCAGTGTGCCAATGAGCTTCCCTTTTTACCTGTCACCACCAGCTGTAGATACTGCGTCTCTGACCATCCCTGAGAGGACGTTGAATTGTAGGCACAGAAGTACCTCCCAGCATCCTCGGGCTCCAGGTCCCTGAGGAAGAGTTTAGCACTATTCTTGGCTGAGCTTAGCTGTTCCTCGTACCCAGAGCTGTTCAACTTCCCCAGCCTGACGGTAGCGTTTGGCTGCTGAGCTGAGCACTCCAGAATCACGCTGTCCTTTCTCTCAGCCACGGGGCCAGGCCAGGCTCTGAAGAAGGGCGCGGGAAGTCTTTCTGGAAAGAATTCAAAGTTAATGTCTAGCCACATGCAAATGGGCCAATCAAATGTGGAGACTGTTGTTAAAAAAAAACACGTGAAACAAAGCTCATTTTATGAGGGTATATGTTTGGTTAAAAAAAAAATTCATAGACCAGTATTTTTTTTTAAAAAAGAAAGAAAGCCTAGAAACGAAGATTATTAATTACAGAATAATTGTGAAGTTTGAGTGTTTTTTTTTTTAAAAATATTATTTTTGGCAAGACGCTGCACTGCAATTCCAGAGGTACGCAGTTCAAATCCACCAGATGCTCTGCTGGAGAAGGAGGGGCAATCTCCTCCCGTACCAGTCAGATCTGATTTGGCGGTACATGTAAAAAATAATACAATAAAAAAATATTATCTTATATTGCTTTGCCTACAAAATTCGTATACATTGTGTTTCACATTTTCCTTCATTCACATTGTGTTTCATACAACTATTCCATACACTGTGGTTTGGGTTTTTTTTCTTTTTCTTTTTAAATTTATTATTGATTTCAGTGAAAATTTACAGAGACTGGATTTCCATTCATTGATTGTTGCACTTTTTCTCCCCTCCCAACCCTCTCCCCTAGTACGCTCCCCTCTTGGAAAACTAAAAGAAAAATTCTTTCATTGTTATACAATCCCTCTTCCCAAGTCCACTGCACTGTCCAGCCTTCGCTTTGGACTCCTGTCATGACAAAAATACCTAATCACATATCCATTTTGAACAGTTCTCTCCCTCATCTGTTTCAATGCAGTATACATTATTGACATACACTGTGTTGTATAAAATTAATCTCCACTGAATTATGCCAACCATAACTTCATCTTTTCAGGACCCTCGCCAAATCTTTCCCATTTCCTTTACCCCTATTTTGGGCATTTGCATACCAAAATTGGTACATTTTGGTGGTGCTTGTGTTGACAAATCAAATGTCTTCTAATTGAATTAGGACAAATACTATTTCTGTATGTATTCATGTTACAAGTTCCCACAAATAAAGCCTTTCGTGAAAAACAAAACAACACATCTAAGGAAAGGTTTACACATATTCCAACGAATTCTTGGATAGTTACCAGAGATGGAAATGGGGCAAAGGGAATAAAAATAGGAAATAGATAAAGGTCACAATATTGCAATGGATGAAGGGAAAGGCGGTATCCAGTAAACAGATGATCGGCACA